GATTGTTACAGATCCCAGCTCTGCTGATGAAGCAATTCTGGTTATAAAATCCCATGATTTTATACACAGAAGTTTCCACTGTCTACCATGGTATTAGACACAGAAATAGGTGTAAAGCCACTAAGTCCATTTGCCACTGCAGAATTTGGAATAAAGTGAACTGCTTGAGCAAAGCTGTGAAATGTGTGTGAAGGACCATGTGCAACCAAAATGCTCTCCTCCTCCTAAATGTATACATTTCTCCGGTTGTCAGCAGTGCGTACATAGCTTCTGCAGTCAGATAAGATAGCTTCAGGAAAGCTGGAAATGTAATTTTTTAATGAAAATAATCTGCTGGCTCAGTATAGGCAGGTATTATCCCTGCATTGTCTGCTCTGCTGGAGAAGTTCGATAATAGGGCAGTGTTTGATTCTTCATGCTCTTTTCCCATTCCTGTGTAGCACAGTTGTTTTGCTGCTATTTGCAGTACCTTAAATTACTCACTGGTAAGTATTATTAAGGAACAATTCTTAGCACTTCAGATTTTCAGGGATTTTCTTTGGCTAATTTCCACAGCATCCCTGAGAGGTGTAATGACTCACAGCCTTTCTGTTCACAGCAGTGCTGTGTTGATCTGTTCTTTGAGTAGCTTAAGAGCATTTCACCTTGTGGGACTGCCTGGTTCCTTTGAAGCATGCACTTTCTGCAGTAGGAATAAGTTTCCCCTAAAACCACTGAGGAACTCAGAGGGCCAGGTTTTGTGTGTTACAGGATTAGTGTGCTCTGGCACTGCTACAGAGCTGCGCAGTTGTGGATGCATTAGGGAGAACTGAGCTTTTGGAGGGGAAAATGTCTCTCCAGCTTGCTTGGTTTAGAAGTGGTAAAGCACCCTGGAACAGGGAGAGGACTCGCTCAGATGTCACCTTCCTGCCACCCTTTAGGGGTGGAGATCCTGCAGCTCTCACCTTGAGGGGGAGCTAGGGAGGGAGAGTGGGCTGTGTTTGAAGCAGCTTTCTGAGCTCACATCTGTGCATGGTCCAGCCACAGGCTGACCTTGGGTAAATAAGCGAGACTGAATTGAGGAAGCAGACAAGGCTTCAAAGACAAGAATGCAGGATGGTGCAGCATGCAATATTTATGAATCCAAGTGTAAAATCTGTTAACCAATATGCTTTCCAAAGGATGCTGTCCAGGGAACCACTCAGTAGCCCCAGTGTCCTTGTATGTGGGATTAGAAGAACATAAAGTTCATAAAGTTACTTTTTTTTTTTTTTAGTTGAGCTTAAAAATGGTGTGAAAAATACATGATCCATCTTGGTCATGGTCTAGTGTGTCAGCATTGGTTTAACTGTTTGGCTTTCGCTTGCTTTTTCTATTGCACAATCACCCTTGTGATTGCACCTGCGGGTGTGCACCTCCATGCTAGCCATGCATTTACATCTGCAGAAGAGTGGAGATAAGTTTAATAACTACTCCTGTTTAAATGCAGGATAGATATTTTACATGCCCATACAGACCTTTGACTTGTTTTATTATTTGCCCTTTGTCTTTTGCTCACATTCCAAATTGTGTGCATTTTCTACAGGCATTGAACACTCCTCATAAACATGTATCTTCATTTCTGAGCCGATTTGCTGTGTTTCTGCTGATCAGATCTAATTTAAAGGATGGGCTGAGGAAAGGGCCACCCACTTGGAACAAATATTTCAAACAACTAATAAAAAGGCAGGTAGAGAAGATTCTCAGCGTGAGTTCTGGTGCTTTAATTGACAAAAATGGAGCCATGCCAGTTTTCACTATCTGAAAATCAGACCTGTTACTTCTGTGTCTAGGTCAGCATATTAGTGCTTCTGGAAAATCATTCAGTTGTTAGTAAAACTGATCTAAATACTCATGAGTAGTACTGCACTCTGCCAGTTTTGACCCCTTGGCAAACTGTGAATAAATATTTTATTGATTTCTTTGGATTGGCTCAATAACTATTAATATATCAACATATATATCTTTGGAGACATGAATTTTTCATAGCAAGTGTTCAAAAGATCTGAAAAGCAATTTTCTTTTGGGGATGTGTGACTGGCTGCATGGGTGGCATTGTGTTCTCTCATCCCTGATTGTGTTAGCATTTTAATTGCTTATTCTGTCAGATGCTAATTTTGATTCTTGATGAGGTCTGAGTGGTATTACTAAGTCCATTCTCATTGAGCATTCATCCCTACAAAGCTTCATTTATGGATAAAGAGGTATGAGCCAGACAAGCGTCAGACTGGTTTCATTATTTGGGCTGCTAGCTGATAAATGCTCATGTATTTGGATCAGCTTTAGTCATGACTGGGCTGAAGACTTCAAATCAACTATCTCCCAGCAAATAAATTCAGGTATGAATTCAGTATGAAGACAACTTCAGTATGAAGTCTCCCATTTTGATTGCTGTGGTATGTATATTAATTTCTCCTCCTGAGTGGATAGAAGTTACTGAAGAAGTGTGTTATGAACCTTTATTTTGAAAATCAAGATATGACTCATTCTCCAAAAGCATCTATTGCACATCTTAGTAAGTTTAAGCCAGAAGATGAGCCAAGCAGCAACAGGCAACATCAAGAAAACTGTTTTGTGCCAAAAAAGTCAGTAAACTGCAAAGCCCAAGGGTGAACAGGACAACCATGCAGCTTATAGGAGTGGCTCCGTGGTGGACTATGAGACTCTGAAAGAGTTTTGCACTAGTAGAAAGTAACTGAGGAGATCAGTAGTGTGATGGGCAGCACTGGAAAGGGAAGTTACAACTGTCTACTGCCTCTGCTTCTCAGGAATGAGAAGAAAATGTATTCATACACAGGGATGTGGGTTTGGAGTGCTTCAGTCAACTCAGAGCAATGTGGATATGGGCAGGCTAACTGAAAGCAGGTGCAGAGGGAAAGTTAATGCATGTTGGCCTAACACAAGTATTCATTACATGCACATCGACGTGGCCCAGCTTGCCATGCTACTGCATCTGTTGAGCGGGTTTAATATGGTGCATAACCAGTATGTCCTTCCATAGGCTTCCTTGTGCCTGTCGAACAGTGAACAGAGAATAAGCTATTGTAGTGACTCAGGACTGCAGCTATTGAAGTGCTTCACAGGGAACCCTGACAACACTGTCTCCCTGCTTCTCTTTCTGATTCATTTTTGAATCTCTAAAGAAATAAATGGGCAGGTTCTGTTCAGACAATGTTCTCTAGTAATAGTTTTCATTAAGCCGACTACTGAATGTTTACTTGATTAAAATCTTTTGCTGGTGGAATAAAAGGTTTGTTGTTCTCAACCTGGCAAACAATCTCTAAAATCACTATAAAATGACATCCCAGGAAAAGCACCAAAAGCAAATAATTCTTGGGAAAACATTTCAAGTTTCTTACCAAAGAATTTAAAATCTAAATGTAAAGCTGAAACTCCACTGACTTATATTAAGGCCGATATTGGTTATGTACTTACAAGAAAACAAAATACTTCATTATGGAAAGTAATTTTGAAGGTATGCTTTAAATAAGACATCTTTCTGCTGCCGTCAACTAGAAATTACAAACAAGTATACACACTGGACTGAGAGCCCATCTTGTCTCTCATCAGTGCTTCAGACTGACTGTATGCTTTTTCAGTGCCTGATAATCACCACCTCACAGATACGTTGAGATATATTACATTTATGTATGTACAAGTGATGAAAACCTCTGCACTACAGAATAAACTGAAATTTTTCCCAGCTGCATTTTCTAAGATTCAAAGTGACTTTGTCTTTGCTTAGACTTGCTTATTTTATATTTGTGCTACAATGCTATTAAATGTCTTATACATGAATATTCCACTGTTTTGACACTGTGAAGATGTTTTTGTCAAATCTAAGCAACTGAAGACTAATGGAATCCTTTTGAAAATTGATGCTGTGAGCTTTTGGGGAACTTAACCTCTTTTATCCACAGCAAAGTCTTATGAGTTTCTGCAGAATAGAAACTGTACTTATGGGACTTGTGAGAACTTTCAGTTCCTTGAATGGGATGTGCTACAAACAATGAAAACATCATTTTTGTTGATGACATAAATAGTAGGAAATTATTTTGGTTAATCCTGGATCAGCTTGTTTCTCTATTTGTTTAACACTCCAAACTACCCATCAAAGCAGAGGTTCAAATGCTATTTTTTTCTCTCTCTTCTGTAAATTAAACCAAACTTCTGTGTTTGGAGAAATCTGTAAATCTGCTAATCCTTCCTCATACTTTAGAGAGAAATATTATTACAAAAAAAGATTGTTTAACTCTATCAGTGCAACAGTTGTAACGTGCAAAATGGAAATTCCTAGAAAAGTGATGCATTATTTTGCCTTGGACTCTATGTAGTCTTAACCAGATTGTTCAGAAAGTGCTCTGTTGTCAGTGGCAGCAGCTGGTTTGACCAATGACACAATAAAAACCCTCTTCAGAAACTTTGATAGGCATTTCACTAAATGCTAGCATTATAAAAGATATAAAGACTATGTTAATGACACCTTGATCCCGTGCTCATGGAAGACAATGACAAAGCTCTCACTGACCATGGTGCTGAAGGATGAAGTTGTTTCCTTTTATAACCTCCAAGTGTTTTGGTAAGAGCAATTGATCAATCCTGCCACCACTGTGTCGGGTAGCTCTTAATTTTGATGTTAGATATGAATGAACTGAGGTGAAATAATTAATTCAGGTTCTGTGGTGATTATGCACTGAAGATGGACAGTGCTCAGTTGCTATTCTCTGATCTAATCATCAAGAAATACTCTTCTCCCTTCCCTGACAAAAGATTTTGAAAGACATCTCGCAATCTTGGATGAACCAATATTATGAATTAAAGATATTTTGGCTTATGTATTATGGAAATATATTGGGTATGTTCAGCGTGCAAGCTCACTGGACACACAGTATTTGAATAACTTGTTCCTGTTTTGCCTAAACTGTGAATGTCTTTCAATCCACAGCTGTCATTTGGCCAACCCTCTCCCTCCAGTAACTTACAACTTTCAATTTCTAGTGTGCAATTTTGTTCATCCAGAGGATATCTGCGTAGATCCATCATGCAAGCAGCTGTTGTTGTGATCCTGAAAGAGGAGGGTGAAAAAAAAAATGAGATTTGAAACCACCTTTTATTTATTCGAGAAGGCAAAATTTTCTATGGTGGCTTTTCTGTTTGTTTGAATACAGAATGGATATGCACATGGATTCCTGGCACTCAGGCTTTACATAGCGTGTAAAACATGATTAAGTAATTTATGCAGCACTATATACTGATTACAGTATAAAGAGTCAGGGGATATGCTGAATACCATAGAGCAGAATTTTGACTGAAAACTTTATGTGCAAAAGTGTTCAGTGTTTTGAAGAACATTTAGTGAAATTTCTACTTGGACATTTTATTTTTGATGTCCTCAGTTCAGATATCTTCAAGCTGTTTTGCAAAATATTTTATTTATAACTAGGGCTGCTGATAGCCTTCTTTGTTAATTTTGTTGTCACCTACTGCTCTTTCAATTTTGTTTGATTGGTAGGTGCATTTTCATTCATACTGTGGAAATATTGGTAATATCTGATTGATTATTTTTATGATTTCATAAACAGTTTATCATTAACTGTGATAATTGAACATTACCTCTTAAAAATGGCAGGATGCTATCAAACACTTGTGAAATACAATATTATATGGTGGTTACTTAATGAATATTGAGAGTCGCTACGATGTAGGCTGGATCTTACAGATCTTTGCTCCTTCTAGAGGGCATGTGAGCTGATATTCAGTCCCTGAAGATATTCTTCATAGCCTAAGCCTTTTTACAGGCAGTTCCTCTCCTTCTGTTACACTGTAAATCACAGAGCATCCAAGCAAATACTTGCTGGTAAGCCTGTAACCCTTGGTAGAAAGGTGAAGTGTCTATGTGAGGACAGGCGTCAAATTATAGATTCTTTTAAAGATCCAATTAAGACACTCACAGTGGTGCTTTCAGACTCAAAACAGTGTGTTATCACCTGCATTTGCTTTTTTTTTTTTTTTTTGATAGATGTGTTCTTAAATCCTTATAAAACTTCTGAACTTGTGAATGGGAAAACTTGGCTTGTAATTTTATTGGTCTTTCTCCCCCCAGCAATTTCTACTTCAGGAAGGCAGATAACCTATTTTCTTGATCTGGATTTGGTCCTATTGCTCCAGTTCCATGACAATTAATGCCTCGGGAATGCATCTATAAATTTTACTTTTGATGTGCTAAGAGCCAAGCACACTTACATCTGTATTGGCATCATAATGCTTGCTGTCACAGAGCTGACATAATTAAAAGAAAAAAAAAATGCCACATGCTTCATTACTGTGACATTCTTCACATTATCCTAGGTCTACAAAATCCTTCTGTCTACCTGCATATAAGGAACATTTAGCAAGTCCATGCAACTACTCTAAAATACTGTCAAGTACCATGGAAATGGTATATTTATGCTTTTCCTTTAGGCTAATTTGCATGTGTCTTAACAGGTTTTGCATTTGTCATAGAAAAGGTTGGGGGCTTCATTTAATTTAGCCATGAACCAAATATTACCTTACTGAGAAGCACTGAAAAGATGTAATCATTTGTCAGATGCCTACCTAGGAATGCGTAAGGTCATACCTAACAGTATACTAACAGTCACAGTTAAATGCTTTTAAATGAAGATTTCATAGAGCAGTGTTTTGTTCCCAATAAATAAGTTGGCCTTTATGGTAATTTAGTTCATCTATATCAACCAGATTTATACGAGTGTGTCCAGAAGTAGAAGCTGACATAGTGTTTCCTAGACCATGGAGTTACAGTGGCCAGCTATTTCCCAAAAGCCAGCATATCTGTACTGCTGACTTCTGCAGTTTTGCATATCCCACATAAGCTATATAAGAAATCATAATTTGTTACACTTTATAACATCAGTGCAAATTATTTGTGCAGCAGTAAATTATGCAGTTGTTGCATATCTGACATCTAAATATTCTACATAATTATTTTTTCCAATAATTCTGACAACTGTATTGTCTTTTTTCTATTTGTGCAGTTTTTGGTGCACTGGTTGTTTTGGTGTGTCTGATCACTACTATAATTAAGAACAAAAATTAATGTATGCGTGACTAAGACACTGTATTGCTATTTGGGGGTGAGGTCTGGAAGTAAGTGTTTGGAGTATGCAGAAGAAAGATAATAAACCTCTCGTATTGATTTCTGGTTGCAGTAAGTGATCCAAATCTGCCTAGCTTGTTGATTGGTAATTTCTCATCCTTCATCCTTGTTAAATCACTCCTTGCCTCTATGTTACAAGGAAAGGTAAAACAGAAGCACTTGATCTATGTTCTCTGCTTCCCTTAGCTTTGTTTTGCATTCCCTATAGGGCCTGTAAGGCAGTCCCTGTACTTTGATGCCAGTCTACATACCTTGGGGAAAGTCAAAGGTGGTGGCAGTGAGCAGCTTTCCACCTCATGACTCATTTAACCCCTTAGCAGCAGTCCTGAATGCTACTGTGGCTCTCTGCTGCAATAGCAAGCAGTTGCTTTCAGGAAAGAGGGGAATGACATGGTTTTAGCTGAAGTTTGCAGAGATGAGAGCTGCACAATACTAGATGGGAAAGACAACTGGAGACTACTGTCTAGCAGGCAGTGGAGGGTGGCTGTCAAGAAGCTTGAAGTTTGTGGCTTCCAGCAGCAGGAGAAAGAATCCTGCTTCACTTGTAGACCCACAACTTTGGAAGTGGTACAGTGTCCTGGATAGGGGGGATGATGAGCAACATTTGCCCAAAAATTTTTCTAGAGCCCCCTGAGCCTGACCTGTGTCCAGTGCGAATGGGAAAAGGCAGGCGGGAGGGAAGGAAGTCACCAAACTACTAACACAGCGTGATGCCTTCTAAAGCTGGAGGTGCTTAAACTTTATTGGGAATCAGTTTTTGTTGAAAACTGCTACTTGCAATTGCAGCAGGAGTGCTTCAGGACCCGTCAACATTCATTACCTGTAGTTCATAAATCTGCCTTTTGAGCATTTCTTTCTCCCTCATGATAGATCTCAGCTGTGTAAAATTTTTAATGGCATTATGCTCTGCATAACCACAAAAGTTGTTTAAGGACATAAATTAAACTCAGATTGTTGTCTCAACTGAAAAAAAAATAAATCAGGTCTTTTATTATAAATAGAATAAAATCCCAAACCTGATACTGGCTGCACTCTCTCAGTGGAGAAAATAACTGTTGGCTTGCACACGCACCAGGAGCTTAAAAATGAAGACATTCAAATGCAGAATACATCAAAGGCTGTAATGGTAGGAAGGGGAATGCAATAGTCTGAAGATAGGGCAAAGCTGCAATAAATCTGTGTTCAGGAGGATTAGTCCTGAAAGTCCCTGGGCACAAGCAGTTTGTGGAAATGGTGAAATATCATGAGGCTCTGTAAAAGTTTAAGTGGAGGACTAATCCGACACTTGAAGCAGAGTTATATATGTCTCAGAGTAGGATATGCTTCTTCCAGGCTTTCCATTCTTAAAATATGCTTTAAGTTCCAGTGTTGCAGCTAATTTGTTTTGTTTGTACAGTGTCTTTTATCCTGTGATCCTTACATTCTTTAGATTCTTTTGAATCTAATATACAATTCACAAAAATTAAGAAAAAAATTAAACAAATGATAAAAATGGGATTATACAAAGAAGACAAGCAGTTTGGTGGAAATATATCATTATGGTACTTAATTTGCTTCATGTCAGTACTCAGACATACTGGAATGGAGTATACTGGAAGTCTGCATTGCTAACAGGCAAGATAAATAACATTTGCAATAAAGCAAAATTAACTGGTTTTGTTTTTTGTTTTTTTGTTATATTTGGCTTGGAGTTCAAGTTATCTGATCCACTGCTTAGATTTCATTTTTATGTCTGACTTGCTGAATACTGTATTCTTACTATATAGTCAAGTTATTTTTAGCCAAATATTATATGACAGAAAACATTAATCTCCAGTAGGTACAAAACTGACGTCCTTAGGTAATACTGTCAAATCCCTGCAGGGCAGCAGGTCTTATAGGAATGAATGGTGAAGAATATTTTGGGTTAAGTCATCAGTGAGCAGTTAAAGTAAGTTCAGAATGAATGTGGGAAGTGGAGTTATGGTTCAGTACTGAGAGCATTTCATCAAAATGCTGTCAAAAAGCCATGCCTCAATTCTTGAAGTAGAAACAGAAGCAATGTTTAAGACAGCAATGACAACTAAATGTGGAGATGATCAGAGCTAAACAATGCAAATTCTGTTGTGAAATGTTCCCTTCATTTGGAGGACAGGTATCAAATTTTAATATGTTCATTCTTTTTTCTCTCAGTCAACACAGCATAAATTATGAATGTATATGAAGTTATGAAATGAGATGGACTTTTTTAATGTCCTTAAAGCAAAATAAAATCTCAAATCAAATAATAACCATGCTTTTCTTAACCACTGAAGGGCTGGAAACTCTATTACACACTGGAATTAGATTTACATATCCCAGGTAAAACACTGATTTTATGAAATCAGTGTTAATTTAACTTCAGTGGTATCAGGGAACTTAATTCCATAGCAACTGTTTGACATCAGAACCCAGTCCCATGGTGTAACTTGCATATTTTTTTCTGGAACTTGGAAGAACCTTGATGTTTGAGATTTAATGGGATGTCTTGTAGGGAGAGTTATTGAAGGAATAGAGGAAGGCATTAAAAATGCACACTTGAAGGCAGAAAAAAATGTTCATTTAGTTGGCAAATTTTTTTTCTCTGTTCATGCCATGATAAGTTTTACAGTTGTCAGGCCTGGTAACATTGTAAATTTCCAAGCAAAGTCTGAGTGCTTGACCCTGGCAGAAAAAGTCAGCTCTGAACCTGCAAACATGCTCAACTTGTAGTGCTTGAAAGAGACAACTCACAGGATGTACAGTTGAGCATTAGCATTATTTGAGTTGGTAGTGTGCATATTATATAATGTAGCATACACTTGAGAAATCTGTGTTCGACAGTCTGTGTATTGCTTGTCTGGTCAAATTCTATTAAAAAGAAGTTGCAAGTGTTAGTAAAATTGGGAAGG